TCTGTCATCAGGAAGATGGAGAAACCAAACTGAGACTGAAAGCACAGTCTACCTGTGCATCTTCCTTATGTATCATCTTGGCTGATCTTACTTGTAAATACTGGGGGGGAGGGCAGTGGGAATGGGCCATATTTTTTTACTTTTAGATATTAAAGAATATGATGTGGGCCAGTATTGTGGGGTGTCTAGGCTGTTTACCTTCAGGGACGCAGTTTCCCCCTCCTGGTTTGTAAATAAGCTCCACTAAATTCTCCCCACACCAGGCTTAGACCTATATCCTTTCATTGATAAAACTGACATGCGGTTAGTTCATCGTGCATTTTGTTACAGGTCCTGCAGGTTTTCAGCAATAGTCCCAAAAGAGCGATGTTTCCTTAGTCAGATGGCATCTTCAGAATTGAATTTTTAAAATCTTACATGTGCCTGTGCTGACTCTTGCTTTGCTGTGGCCCTGCTCCAAGGAACGCCTCTGCAAAGAGGCGGGAGGGACACGCTTTCCTGCTCCAGAGGGGCTTGTGGGTGGCGAGTGGCACAGAAAGGCTGGCAAGCTGGTCTTCAAGCCTGGTTCCAGATTCCTTATCCGGAAATGCTGCATTGATCAAATGCATCCACCAGTAGACCGGGACAGGCTTGGCGTAAACGTGGTGTTCTTTGTATTCTTGCCTTTCCAAACGCACTTGGTTTTATGTGCTGGGTCACAGCTTGGAAAGGTGATTCTTTCCCTCACCTGGGCATGTGTGCTTCCCCTCTCCTAGATGTAAAATGCTGGTAAGGTGACAAGCACAGTAATGGGCATGTTCTCTCTGCTCTGAAGTGCCAGGCCATACTAGAGAACCGTGCTGGAGCATTTTACCCTGGGTCAGCTGTCTAGATGTTCCCCGTTACAGCAAAGTTCGTCTCAGCTGTGGGGCCCTGTATATAATTCAGAGCATGTCTCCCTGGGAAAGCAAATCGGCTTGTAGAACAGCTGCTTCTGTTTTGTTTTTCCTTGCCTTCCCCCCACCCCAGTCCTTGTCAGTGGAAATTGCTGTGCTGAGAGCTGGTGATGGGGAATGAGCATTTCTCTGCTGCTGGTTCCTTTGAAGTAGCAACGCATGCTGAGCTGCAGCGCCTGCCTGTGACAGTGGGCAGGAGGACTGCCTGCGTGAGGCAGTCTGATAAACCTGGTGCTTGGATCAACGCTGTGGTTGAAGCTTCTCCTGAGGCTGTGTGGCTTGCCTCTGCTGATGTTACTGCATGAGTTCAGAGCCATTTCTAATGGCATGGGTCTGTGATGAGTTTGCTGTCCTCTAGACTGGAGGAGGGAAGGGAACAGCAGGCTGATGCTTTTGACCTTGTCAAACAGGCCTGCTGTTGGAGATGCAGATGAGGGATTTGTACTATTGCACCAGCACCCCTCTTCCCGTACTGTCCCACCGTCGCCTGTAAATGAGCAGTGCGAAGGGAGATCGTTATCTCAGTCCTCACAGTTGACTAGCTTTCCACAGCCACCTCTTCAACTCTGTATTGTTGCATTTCAGGCTGCTTGGTGCTATTTCACCTTTGGTGTTTCCGTAAGCAGCCGTATTTTGCAGTGGTTTGTAAGTACAGTTATTTGGGGTTTGTAGTGCATTTTAACAGTTAAACTTCAGCGCTCAGTAGCAAATCATCTTTCAAGGTTTTACCAAGCCTGTTGCCTGAGGAAGTGAATGGATAACCTCCAGCCATTTTTCGTGTTAATTTTCACAGGGAAGCATTCGGAAGTCTTTTATTCTAAAAAATGTTCTTTGCTAACGCGGTTTGAGCACTTGTCTAAAGACTGTTGTTCAGCTCTCTTCCACTTGCAGTGTTGTAAAACGTTGTGTTGCAGCATGACATGTTTAAGAAAAAAAGGGCCAAAGGACTGATTAGAAGGACACACACACTACGAACATCAGTGGCTTTCGAATGAAGATAAATTTACAGGTTCATGTAGAACACGGCACTAATTCTCTGTTCAGAATGAAAGCTGAATGCCTTCCAGGGCTGATTGCCACCCACACAGGCAAAGACATCTTTCTTGGTTGATGTAGCACGAGTGTTTTCCATCTGCCTTTAAAAGAGGGAAATGTGCCAAGTATTGTCAAGGAACTTGAGTATTGTGTGTTTCTAGAAGGTTAGACAGGAGAGGTGAATAAAGCTTTTAGCTTCTAGCTTCTATGTGCTTCTCTAAAAGTATCAGGACTGCAATTCCTGTGCTCTTCAGGGTAGCCAGCTAATGAGAAATGGACCTCTTGGGTCTGATGGAGTATCCAACCTTACGTAAAGCTAAGTAGGAAACAGCATTCCCCCTCCAAATTTAACATTTAAAAGGTGAATTCCCCCCTGTGTTCTTTGGGATGAAGTAAAGACATTTCTTCAAAACAAGGGGGAAGTGAGACTTAACAGCCCACCTCTAAATAAGCATTGATGGTGGCTGAGCACATCTGCTTGGGCTGTAGGAGATTTTGGGTGTAATTCTCAACTTAGTCTTTAAGAGAGGGTTTTTTGTTTTGTTTTATTGAGGCTCCCAGGTGTTTGATTAATGTCCCAACCCCTGCTCTGGGGGACACAGGAGCAACTGAGGGAACAAACTTGGAAGCAAACTTCCAATGTCTCTTGATTATATTTGCACTTTAAAGTGAGACTTCACCTTGGTTTTGGGTCAGGGGCTAGGATCCTGGTGAGACTTCTGGGAACTCGTCTCTTTGGTTGTGAGCTGGTATGGGGAGTTTGACTCCTAGGTGGTATCTGCCAGATGAGTGTAAATACATAAAGTCAAATTATGCTTTGTCACAAAATACTACGTATGTGGAGAATTCAATATTGTGGCTGTTACCAATAAATATTTTATAGAGAGATCACTGAGTGCTTAAAGTCTGCGTTTGTCTGGTGTGATACAACTTGCTGGTTTCTTAGGAGGAGAGTGGGAAAAATCCCCCTTTTTTTTTTTTTTTTTTTAAAGCATCTTCCTTTTGGAAAGTCAGAAGCTCTGTAGTGGAAACTGTGATCCTCTGAAGCTAACCCTAACACAAATTGCCCATTTTAGGGGGGTTTTCTTGCCTAGGAATGTATCAGGATAGGGAAGCAGTCTTGTGACAGCTGCTTGTTGGGGTACGGTGCCCTAGGTAGAGGGGCGTTCACAGAAACCTATGGTCTGGATGGAAAAGCCGAGCCCTTTCTTTGGAAGGTGGGGAAATAGCTTGTTGGTTTGGAGTAACAGAAGACTTGGATCATGACAGTCTATATATTTATATATATATAGCGTGACAGCTGCTGTAGGGGGGGACGGCAGCCAGCATCAAGTTAATATGGGTAAAACCCCATGTGCAGTTTCCAGGTTAAACTCAAAAGAGGATGAGGGAAGAGTGAAGCTGGAGAGAAACGGTTTTTGTTCTATCCCTTGCTTAAACCATGAGCAGATAGGTGAGAAGGCTGGCTCATTCCTGGGTCCAGGCCACCCACTGCAGGAAATCATCTTTTGACACCTAGCCCTTGGGGTAGTGCTGCTAAGGGAATACTTGGAATACTTCTAGTGACAAACTGGGTTTTGGCAAAGACAAATGCAAAGCAAAAATTCCCCTGCAATTTTTCTAAGGCTCTTTTTCTCGATCTCAGGTCTGTGTAAAACCTCTGACAGGAATAAAACTGCAGTAAGATGCATGAAAAAAATTTTTTTATTTGAACTTTCATTCTTGTGGAACTTAAACACACACTGGAGTTTGTCTGCTTCACTGGGGAATCTTGCAACTTGTGTAATGGAATAATGGAAACCAAAGTAGGGGCTTGGGGAGATGGAAAGCTTGTCTAGACCTGAATTTGTCTGGGTAATGAACAGGTTGAGAAGCAGATCTTCAGAGTTTAAGGCTCAACTATGGCATGTCTTCTGCGCTGCTGTTCCTGTTGTAATGAGTAAGCACTCGAGATTCAGCATGGCAGACAAAGCTGAACAAACCAGTTTTATTTTACTTGGAGCTCTTCTACTAAATCAGCTGATGTACTTAAAACACTTCGGTTCTCATCAGTGCTACTGCTACGCCACCAGCTTTGCTGGCAGAAATGACCTGAATGAATAGAAGAAGTGTTAGCAAGTCTTACGGACTAAGATTTGTTACGAATCTGTATGTTGCATGACATACTCATATACTTAAATGCTTTTAAATAACAGTAAGGCATGTATCTTTACACAGGAGGCTCCTGTATGCCAATGTGTAGCTTCATGTGCTAACATAGTCCGTTGTGAGGTGGTGGTGCCTACAAACGGCAAATTTTGTCTCGGAGAGGCCTGGGCTATGGCTTCAGCATTTGCCGTACGCAGGCACGGCTGTGCCTGATGCTGTCTTAGCAGCAGCTCCCAGGTTTTCAGTACATCTCGCATTACAGCAAATGGATACGAGGGACGCTTTAGCTTACGCATCCAGTTTTACAGAGCTTAGTTCAAGTCCGATTAAAAGCCAGCTCTTGAGACTGGTTTGATCTCAATTGATCCTCAATATTAACAAGGGAGAGGGGTCACTAGAAACGTGGATTTGAGTCTCACTGTACCACAAAGATCTTAGAAATAGTACTCTTCAGCTTGCGTGGTCCCCTTTCCAATTTCTCCTTGGGCCAACACTGAGAAAGGAGTAAGGGGAATGGTTTGTTGCCCACTGTTTCTCTCTTGCATGTTCTTAAGGAGCTAATGTTCTTGATCTTCTGCTAAGTGCTGGCTGTGCATTTTCAGGTTCCGCTGCAGGTGCCTTTGCTGGAAGAGAGTGCACATGCACAGCAGAAATCCCTCAGTCTCAGATTCACACTGAATAGCACCACAGCGGGGGAACACGGCAATCCTGCGTGTCATGCTAATGGTCAGTCCTCATCCCTGTTGTGTAGTGGGATGACAAATACAGAGATGTCATCGTAGGATGCCTCGTGGCTGTCATCCAGCATCCACTGGTGGCCTCTCTTCTTTCCCCTTGCTCTGCATACCAAGCACTTGGCCAGTTCTGAAAATCTGTAGGTGTAAAAAATGTAAGGTTTGGGTTAACATGACACTATTCCCTTCAGAACAACATTGAGATGTGGCTTTTTGTTGTCAAAATAGTAGGTTTTTTTAAGACACCAGCTTTATAATTGTTTCTTTAGGATGGGGAAAGATTAGCAGGTGGTTTCTGGAGTCACAGAAAAGAGTGCTTGGTCATGCCGGAGCTGACCTAGAAGCAGAGTGATCTCAAACTGCTTTTGGTCTGACCAGGTTCTTTGGCAGGGAAAACGATGGCAAAGCTGGTATTACCTTTGAGGATCTGTCCTGTTTTCTGCAAGGAAGCTCCTGACCATATGGGCCACCTCTTTGTTGCACAGAACATCCCAAAGGCCATCAGTTGCCATGATGAGAACATCGTCTTCCTTAATGTCATGCAGAGCAAAGTCAAATACATTCACCTGGAAAACACAGGAGTAAATCGGTGACAATTCCTGCAGTGTACCAGAAAGGTCAGGGAGATGACTCTTCCCCTGAGAGGTGACAAAGTGGGACCAGGGTGCTTTGAATCTTTTATGTCCCCTCCCTGCTATCCTTCCAGATTCCTCTGTCTTGGGGATTCTCTGGGCAGCGTGCAGAGATGGGGGATGGAAAAAGGACATGGCTAAGACCTGCCAGGTCTCTAAAAGGTGGGTGCTACAGAGGAGGAGCAGCGTGTTTAATTCCATCCTGCAATTCCCACGTGCCGCGACTGACCTTGGGAATGCAGGAGAGGAAAGGTTTGACTTCAATGTTGGTGTCGATGACTTTGAGTTGATGATCCCCCAGACCTCGAGAGACAGCCAGAGTCCCCAGCAAGCGAGCCTGGCCCCAAACAAAGCAAAACAGTATTGAAACATAAGAATATAGCACCTTTAAAGGCTGATGTGTGTCTTGTCCTGACTGATCTATGCATTGTCTTTAGGACCCTTCTCCAAGCATCGCCCAGAACAGCCCCTGGAGACTTTAGAGATGGAGGAGTGATCAGAAGCGATGGCCTGATTCGGGTGTGGAGGCAGCCTGCCCGTGGACAGCTCCTGGAGGCCCAGGGTGTGCTCTGGAGTTAGTACCTGTGCTCTGGGTAATGCTACAGACCTCAGGAAGCCCATGGTGGTATCTGCTCTTGATTTGGGGTGGCAAGGAAGAAAACTTGGTTGGTTTGGGGGAAGGGGGGTGTCCTTTCTCCTGGCAAAAAAAGGTTCTGCACTGACTCCTTGCAAAGGGGTGGCATGCAGGCCGTAGTGCTGGGGGAGGTGACGGGGCTTTCTGCTCGACCCCAGCAGGCAGACGCTAGATGTATGCAGTCATTGCTTCTCCCTGCCTCCTCCTTCCCTCCCTAGGCTCCTTTTCTCAGCCTGTCCTCCAGGAAGAGGGTTTGTGGGAAAGGCGCTGGTCAGAGCTGGAGGAGACAGTCCAACGTGGGATCTGATGAAGTAAGTTCTCATCTGAAATAGAGTTCTTGTGTTAAAGGGGAGATGAGGAAAGGGCAGGCTGGCTCAGGGCTGCTGTCTGCTCCACTAGCAGGTACTCTGGAGGAGGGTGCAACCTCTCTGCTCCGGAGGGCCCTGGTTTACACTAACCAGGCAGCATGGTGCTAGCGAAGGGAGCTGCTCTGTCGGGGCTGTGGGACTGCGCTGTGCTGGAGAGCCCCAGAGCACTGGCTGCTCTGCAGCCCCAGTCTGCTGTAGTGCCCTGGAGCATGACCCTGCGCGACAGGGATGCTGAGGACCCCCAGCAGACTTACCTCTGCCTTCCCAGTGTGTAAAACATTAAGCTACCTGCTTCCCGTGACCATGGACAAGAGGATACTTGAGGTCGGCTTTCTCCACTGTCTTGTATCCCCTGGAACAGAGAATTCACTGTTGATTTGGGATTTGTCTGACTTGATGGTACAACCCAGCCAGAGCATTTCAACTGTGATTCAACCCTTGTGGTGCCCCCCGACACAGGCAGCTGACTGAGGAAGGGACAAGGTGACTTGCTCAAGCAGATGCAGTGAAGATGACCCTTGCTAGATGCCCAGGTGTTTTTCCCCTCTCTTCTTCCTCCCCAGCTTGTACCTGTGCCAGGCTGGGACTCCATGCACCAGCCCCACCTCACAGGATCCCAGAGGAACCATCTCAACTGTTCCCTAATTGCCCGGCCAGGGCCCCAGTCCTTCAGTCGGGGGGAAGCTGCTCACAGCATCCTTCACTCAATCTGGCACAGCTTTGCACCATCAAGCCCACTGCACTCACCAGCAAGGCATGCCCCTTCTCCCTTCACCTCTCCATCGCTATGAGCAGGTAAAGCTGTCCTGTGCCACAGCCTTATCTTCAGGCAGAAAGGACTCACCAGCCCTCCATGAAGTAATCCCGGTACAGGACTTTCTGGCCCACATCATCTCCCTTCAACCTCCGTGGAAACTCAAAGCGAGTGAACTCGCCGTCCAGGAGCTTGGGGAAAAGAAAAGCCTGAAGGAGGGAACGAAAGCATGAGGATGGACAGGTTCTGCTTCAGCGGAGTAGGGCAGCAAAACTGCTTCTGCCTCAGGACTGGCACTCCCAGCAGCAGAATGGAGAACAGAATTGGGAAAGCACATCCCATACTAAAGGCTGTTGGTAGAATCTTGCCCCCAGCTCTCCTTGGCTAGTGCCAGATGACATTCTGGCCGTACAGTGGCCTTTGAGGAAAGCTGGGGGTCCTCTTGCTGCAAGCCCTCTCTGACCCAGTGGGATGCTCGCAGCTGGATTGTCTGATGCACGGAAGGAGTCACTCACCAAGTGCTGGATTCGCTGCCTTTCTGTCTCGGGCGTGAACTCGCAGCTCAGGGGCATGACATTGTCCTTCAGAACAAGAATCGCCCTACGAGGGGGAAAGGCAAAGAGCTGAGCTGTGTCTGTCAGCACAGCCCTCCTCTTACCAAAGCTAGTCCCAGGGTCAGCCACGTGTGGGACTGGGGATAACCAGCAGCAGAGCAATGCCGGTGAATAGCTCTGCACCCAGAAATGTTTAAAAATGCTGGTGTATTTTAAATAATTCAATTGCAATTGCGCTTTTGCAGCAGAGAACTGAGCTTGCCTGGTTTGACAATGGTAGAGCTCACTGCTGGAGGAATGGTGGGCCGAGGCCAGATGAGGAAGCTCTTGAGGATGCCTTGAAATCACCTTCCACTTTTAAACACCTGCCAGGCTGAGCTTACTGCTGCACCACCACCCCAATTAGTCCCCTGAAATCACAAAACCCTTCCAGGAGCTATGACAGCATCCGTCCTTCCAACAGCTCCTGTGGCAGGCAGGAGGGAAATGGCTGGGCTGCACATTTACCTTCTGTAGGATTAAATAAGATGCTGGAAACCTTGCTTATCTCCCAGCTCTCACCCCCCAGCAACTTCCTCCTTTTTATTACAGCTCACCTGCTGTCCCCAGCGTTAGCCACATACAGCTTTCCCTGGAAGTAAAGGGCAGCCAGAGCAGTGCAGCCTCCTGTCTGGTTTGTAGCTTCCATCTCCTGGCCGATGACTTCATCCTGTTGGTTTACACAAGTTTGGAGAGTGATGTGAGCCAGGCTGCTGCTTGCTGCAGCTGCCTCATGCCTCCCAGCAGAAATCCAGAACCAAAACTGACTGTAGGTGGGCCATGGGAAAGCAGCAAGGCAAAAGACAACGTTGCTTCAGTACAGCCAAGAAAGCTGTTCCTGCTGGACTAAGGATCACTTTAGGAGCGTGATGGAGAGATCTCAAACTTGTACATGCGGTACACGTGTGACAATAGTCACCATCTAGCCCTAAAGAAATGTATCCCCTGGGTGCAGTTTAGCAGAGATGCTGTAGCTTTGTTGACCGCTGATGTGCAACAGATCTGAGGCAGATCTCGCAGGGTTGACCCAGCCTGATCTCAGCACACATAAAGCTTTGGCCAAATGTTTCTGCCTGCTCGATGAGCTGCAGAACTGGAGACTTGGCCCACCACGACCAGTGCCCTGCACGGAGTACTCACGCATTCCTGGAAGGCGTTCTCCAGGGCTCCCACCACCAGGTCTTCTGCGTGGATGTGCTTCTCCTCCACAAACTGGGGGTCACTGTCGCAAACGCAGCGTCCACTGAGGTGCATGGGGGGACGGGCCTCCGTGATGCCTCCCACAACCTCCTCCAGCTTCTGCTTGATGCAGTAGTGCAAATAGTTGGAGGCGATGATGGCAGCTTCTGGGCCACCGTGGCCGTCAAACAGTGCCCAGTAGTAACCAGTCAAAAACTGCAGTGAGGGACAAGACAGCAATGGAAGGGGAAGACGGGGGCTGGAGAGGTCGTACAGACAGCAAGCTCGCAGTCAGGACATCACTGTAGGTGTTTTGCCTGGCTTTCCCACCCCAGCTACCCTTCCCTGCCACCAGTTAACCTCCTGTGCAGCTCAAACTCATGTGATGCCCATGTGCTGCTCTGCCAGACCTATCGGCTGGGCTTCTGAGCGGCTGGATTTGCAGCCACCCACTCTCACGCGCTGTTCCTCTGTGTTTTAGGGGAGATGGGGATATTTTACAAGAGGCAAGGCAGAGCCACTCCCAGGTGAGAGCATCCCGTGTGCCTGGTTCACGCTGCTGTCCCCACGTGATGACAACACGCACCAGCCCTCAAAAGGAGAGTGAGGACAGTAAAGGAAAGGTGAGGGCACCAAGTAAAGGGCTTGGATGATCTCAAAAGCCACAAGTCATGGGCCATGGAAGTGGAAATGGCATGTATGGGCAGAGCTGGGTGTTTGCTGGCCAGGCGTAGGGTACACAGGTCCCCTAAACACACCCAAGGGTTTCAGCGCATGGGCATGTAGGACTGATGGGGCAACCCTGTGTTTCCTCTGCCTGGGCCCTTGGGTGCAGACCAGAGCTGGTGGCAGAGTGAGCACAGCCTGCCTGGGGGCTGTACCTGCGTGGAACACAGGATCAGCCATTCCTCGTCCTCCTCCAGGCCCGGCTCTCTCCTTCGGATGGAGATCTGACAGCAGGCTGCCTGGTCCTCGTTGAACTCCGACTTCTCGGCATTGATAACCCTGGCAGTGCCAACGCCCCAGGTAAGGCGTGCGGACGCACTGCCCCTCGCCGCTCCCAGCCAGCTGTGCCGGGTGCTCTGCAGCCACCGTGAACGGCTGCACCCTGCCCATTCCTTCCAGCCCCACGCTCCCCGCTCCCTTTTCAAACTCAAGGATCTCTTTGCTGGGGACTTGTAACAAGTCCTTTATGTGCAATGGGTACTCTTGGCGAGGGACACAGGGACAAGTGAGTGGTTTTGGAGCACCCTGGCCTCTGGCAGCCCTTGTCAGCAGCCCACGCTGTGCTATTTCCTTGGTGACAGAGTGAATTGCAAAACCACCATCATTGTTTTTCCTTCCAGCCTTGCTAATGTTTGTCCCTGGATGGCAGTTTGTTCTCCTTGCACAGCGTCCCTCTCCATACTGTGTCATCCTACGACCACGGGGTCATGACATGGTCTGGCCAGGATGTGGAGGCACCTCCTGGCTGGAGTTGTTCTGCCTGATTCATCCCCTCTGCCCTCAACATGGCAAACCCACAGATTTCTAAAAATCTGATCTTCTCCCTTCCTTTGTTTTAAAGGCGCTTTGCTAGGAGTAAGGGGATAGATGCCCGATGCTGCTAGCCTCAAGAAACCACCCCCTGCCCCAAACATCCTCCCTGCTCCCCCCTGCAAGAGATACGCAGCGGTCTCTCGGCAGGGCCCTGCCTGACCAGCTCCCTGCAACCAGGGCGCAGAGCAGGAGACTGGTGACATCCCAGTGGTAAAACTGCGGCGTAACCACCGCTGTATCAGGGGACGAGATACCTGAGCTGAGCTGAATCTGCTCTCAGGGCTGCCCCTGCCACTTGTCACACGCAATGGTGACCTGCTCTGCGGCTGGCAGGGTGCAGGCAGCTAAAGGCAGGGAGGGCGGTGGGCAGACGTGTCCCACGCTGCTGCCAGCCACCGACAGGCAGGGAGAA